AGGCAGGAGGATCACAAGTTTGAGATCAGCTGAGCAACCTAGAGAGAGACTCTGTCTCAAGAAAAGTAGTTGATGATTTAAGCTATTACTGTGTAAGTTTGTCTATTTTATCCTTTATGCATAATATTAGCCAAAGCCATTTTGATTCATTTACACTTAGTTCACTCTTTTTTTATCTAGTCTGTCATAGTTTATAGGTATTAAAATGAAGTGACAGATCCTTAAAATTTGAAACATAGTTAATATTATAGTACTGTATTCATGTTTCTAAATGGAACACCTTAAATTATAGTAGGTTACTAAGTGTATTCTTTTATTGTTTTAAACAAACCATTATGGTCTGAGCATGCAAATCAACATGAGGTAGATTGCAATCTTTAATTAGGTGACTATTTTATATATTTAGAATGTTTTGTTTTACTCTAAAATTACATGAGATTTCCTCTCTGGACCAGTGGCTTTCAAAAAACACTGTGCCCATAGCACAGAAGTACATTTTACATTGTGACCCAGTATATTTTCTTTCACATTCCCAAATAGATTACAAGCTTCATGAAATAATTTACTATGCAAGTGTGTGACACTGTATTGTTTGGCTACCCTGTCTTTTTCTGTCTTCCTGTGCTTTTTTTAAAAAACTGCTAGTTTGATCATCTAAATTGATCTCTTAGTCTGCTAATTGGTCAGACCCCAAGAGTAAAAACTTTGTCCTGGGCATTTAAATTAATAATATGTGGGCCAGCAGGTGGTGTGGTGGTTAAAGACTGGATTCCCATGTGGCTGAGCATAGTTTGAGTCCTGGACTTGGTGGCTTGCTTTCTCCGTTTCTCTTTCTCTCTCTGGTAAAATTTTAAAATAATAACAAGTGGAATTAAATAAATAAATAATTATTTTAAAAAGAATTACTTTATTAAAAATAATTAATAATATAGAATATTAGTATTTCTAATGTTTATTTTTTCTGATTTTTAGGTTGCAAATTGCTTTATAAACATGACTTGGCAAAACGTTGGGGAAATCACTGTAAAATGTGCAGTTACTGTTTACAGACATCTCCCAAATTGGTACAGAATAATTTGGGGGGAAAGGTGGAAGAATTTTGTTGTGAAGAATGCATGTCCAAATATACAGTTTTGTTCTATCAGGTAAATATAATTCACATTCCTGGGTTTTTGAGTTAAGGAATAAATTACTCCTTTTTAAATTTTCTGTAGTGTGAAGGACAATCTAATTATTTAAAACTTTAATGTATTAAGTATTTTATTTTCTCTAGCAATTAATAAAAGATTTAGAAAGACTTTAGTGCCATTGAAGTTGTAGTTCTTTTGTTTATTATTTCTTGTAGAAGACATACCAATCTTGACATTAAAATATTTAAAATTATAATTGCATTTATTAATTAAAATGAATTTGTCTTCTTCTGACTTTGAGAGAGATAGGCCTAATAGCTTCACTTTGTTTCCTGTTATCTATGGGAGTCTCTTGAATTTAGCACAATTTTTTTTCTTTTTTCTTCCTTTTTTTTCTTTTGGAGAGGTTTTTGCTATAGGGCACATGCACTCTCCAGAAGGAGAGAGACAGAAAGCAAGAAATCACCCCCTGAGAGGGATGGCCACACTGCAGTCCCTTCTCCTCCATTCTCCTCTCAGGATCCTGGGCACACACGCACATGCACCTGGCGTGAGTTTAAGCCACCAGGTCCTGGACTCAAACCACAGTCGACTACATGGGAGTCCAGTGAAATAGCCATTATGCCAACTGCTGGTCCCAACACAATTTTTTTTTTAAAGTTTTGCCGTAGAGTACTTGTGCCCATGAGAGAGAGACAGAGAAAATGAGAACTCACTCCCCCAGAGAATGGTCATACCTCGTCATTTCTCCTCCATTCTCCTCTTGGGGTTTTGGGGACTCATGTACATGCATATGGAGTGATTTTAAAGCTGCTGGATCTGGGGCTTGAACCACGCTCAGCCATGTGGGAGCCCAGCACCTTAACCACTATGCCACCTACTGGCCCTGTGACATGAGTTTTTTGGTATTTTTCATTGTTAAGTATAAAACTATAAATAGATATTTACTATTTTAGGACAATCAACCTATGACACTAAATCCCAAATTAATTTACTCACTTGTTACACAGGGTCTGTTTTTAACTCTGTCAGACCATAGATAATTTCTTTCCTATTTCTATTTCAGATGGCCAAATGTGATGGTTGTAAGCGGCAAGGTAAACTCAGTGAGTCCTTGAAATGGAGAGGAGAAATTAAACATTTTTGTAACCTGCTTTGTATTTTGATGTTCTGTAATCAGCAAAGTGTATGTGACCCACCTTCACAAAACAATGCAGGTAAAATTAAACTAACTTAATAAATGGAATCTTTGATCAATGCCCAAAACCGTTACTCTACAGATTAGGAACTGTAAACAGTTGTCAGTAATTTCATGAACTGTAAATTTTAATGTATTTAAATGGCGTTCAAGTTAGGTATTTTATTGTTGAACACTTTTGTGGTTTTTTAAGAGAGATTTTCGCTATAGAGTGCATGCACTCAATGGAGAGACAGAAAGCGAGAAATCACCTCCCAGGGGAGATGGCCATACCACAATCCCTTCTCCGTTCTCCTTTTCGGATCTTAGGCATGCACGCACACATGCCTGGTGTGAGTTCACGTCACTGGGTGTAGGACTTGAATTGTGGTTAAGTATGTGGGAATCCAGCAACATAACTATTATGCCATCTGCTAGTCCTTGAACATTTTAGATTAAAGCCAGGTCAAAGTAAGATTTTCAGGTAGAGTCTGTGAGTAATTAACTTTATGGGAAAGGCTGAACAGTTAATATTTGATAACTAGATATACACATATTGGCTTCCTTTCAAAAGGTTTTGAGGGGCCAGCAGGTGGTGTGGTGGTTAAGGCACTGGATTCCCATGACCAACTGTGAGTCGAGTCCCAGATCTGGCAGCTTGAGAATCATATAGGCATGTATGCATACATGCCCAAAATCCCTAGAGGAGAATGGAGAAGGGATTGCTGTGCAGCCATCCCCTAGAGGGTGATTTCTCACTTTCCCTCTCTCTGTCTCTTTGGTGAGTGCACAACACCCCCTCTCGCAAAAAAAAAAAAAAAAAAAAAGTTTTGATACTATCTAACCCTTTGAAATATACATAGCTAAGCAATATAATCTCAGAAACTATACGATTTAAAAACAAACATAACTAGTGTCATCCTAAGAGATAGAATAGTATAAATAGAAGCAGTGACTCCAAGAACCTCTTCCAAAAACTTAAAAAATAATTTCCCTGGCCAGCTGCGGTGATACAGCAGTAGCTGCTCTATAATGCTGGAGCCGTATGGATGGCTGGGGTTCAGCTCCTGGTTGACCTGTACACAGGCATGCCATGATGCTGGATTACTGGGGAGGTTGATATGGAAGATCACAATCTGAGACCCTATTGATGGTGCTTGAATCTACGTGTATCTCTCTTTCTCATAAAAGAAAAGAAAAGGTTAAAAACTTATTCTTTCCATGTGAAGTCAAGATTAAAGAAACACATTAGGCTTCAATGTCCATTCATTGTAACCTGTAATTACATTGATATTGTGCCATTGAAGATTTTTGTTGCTGACTTTTAAGTGAGACTTTCTGTTTCACTTTTTTAAAGGATTTTTTAAATTCACTGTCTTTTTTTGAGGTTGACCAGAGAGAGAAAAGGAAAGTGAGAAAGCAAGCTGACTGGTCCAAACTCGGAACAGAGTCAACCATGTGGGAGTCCAGCCACTTTCATCACAACACCATCTGCTGGCCCCACATTTTTAATACATACATCAAGTACATGGAAGACTTCCAATTTTTGTTCATTAAAAAGTACAGGCCCATGACCTCATGGTTAAGGTGGCTGGATCCCATATGGCAACCCTGCCATTTGAGTCTCAGAGGCAGCGACTTGAAAGTGACTCTGGGCACATGTGTGTGTATACCTAAAATCCCAACAGGATGCAGAAACGGGAGAAGGGATTGTAGTGTAACTGCCTCATGGAGAAGTTTTTTCTTGCATTCCTTTTTTCTTTTTTGTCTTTCTCTGGTAGGTTCACATACCCTATAGCAGATTTTTTTTTTTTTTTTTCAGTAGAAACCCAGGCCCAGCCATGGTGGCACACACTGCTAAAATGCCATACTCTGAAGGTTGGAATCAATGGTTCAGTTCCCAGCCAACCTAAATGGTAGTATGGCAGCATTTCCTGGTTCAAGTTTCAGTCCAATCTGAAAACTAGTATGGTGGCATGCACCTATAATCAGCAGATTAGAAGGCTGAGAGGGAGGAGAATCAAGACACAAGAGATTCTGTCTTAAAAATATAAATTTCAGAAACTAAAAACCTCGTTAATCCTGAAGTGACTCTGCTCCAACAGAAATTACCCACACCTGGTAGGCTGGACAGTGATGCAGTGGTAAAATGTGATGTGAAGGTCATAGATAAGTTCAGGGTTAAATTTTAGGAGACCTTGAGTACCTCATGGGCATGTATGCCCTCAACCACAGCTGGCATAGCCTGAAGGTAGATTGCTGCAAGACCCTGTTGGTAGTGCAGGTGCTGTCTTTGTCTCTCTCACTCATGGAAGAAATAAACTTTTTTTAGAGAGAGATTTTTGCTGTAGAGTACCATGTGCTTGCTGGAGGGACAGAGAGAGAAAGCAAGAAATCTTCCCTAGGAGGATGGCTATGGAACCATCCTTTCTCCTCCATTCTCCTCTCAGGATCTTGGGTCCTCATGCACACACACCCAACATGAGTTTTAAGCCTTGGCACTTTTTTTTTTTTTTTTTTTTTAGAGTATTTTTAAACAAGGGTGCATATGCTCGCCAGAAAGAGACAGAAAGCGAGAAATCACTCCCTCGGGGGTATGGTCATACCGCAATCCCTTCTCTTCCATTCTCTTCTCGAGATCTTGGGCTCACACACACATACGCCCCACACATGCGCCCGGAGTGAGTTTAAGCCACTGGGTCCAGGACTCGAACCATGGTCGACTACTCGGGAGTCCAGTGACATAGCCATTACTCTTAACTGCTGGTCCCAAGCCTCGGAACTCAAGTTGCAGTTGACTGCTTGTGAATCCAGCGATATAACCATTATGCCGTCTGCTGGTCCCAACTTTTTTTTTTTTTAAAGAATTATTCAAACCTGAAAGCATTGTTTAATCTGTGTGAGGCGTTGGTTTCTATGTAAGTGTATGTAAGTCGCATGAGGTTTCTTTAATTTTGTTTATTTTAATCAGGAAATATTTCCATGGCTCAAGCTGCTTCAGCAGGGCCCCCATCTCTGAGAAAAGATTCAACTCCAGTTATAGCTAATGTAGTGTCATTGGCAAGTACTCCTGCTGCCCAGCCCACAGTGAATTCTAACAATGTCTTGCAAGGTATGACTTGGATTAAAAGCTTTCCTCTAGACTTTTTGAGTTGAATGTATCAGTTCTGTACTTTCCCATTAGTGATCATTTTTGTGTTGACTCATTCGTATTAGGAATGATAGCTCATTGTGGACCAAGGGCATTGAATAGTGTTTTCACAAGTTCCTATCACTTTTTCTCATCTTATACTTTAGAACTATTAACTTCTTCTGCTGAATTAAATTAACACATTTTTTAGTATGAAGCTTTGTATTTATAGATTGATAATCACCTTTTAATGCCAATGTTTAAATAATTGTGAAAGATCCTAAATTTATGTTTTCATTTTATATCAAGGTGCAGTTCCAACGGTAACAGCGAAAATCATTGGTGATGTAAGTTTTGTTATTTTTATTCGTATTATCATTGAATTTATTTTCTATTTTTATACAGCATGGATAATTTGTGTAAATATCCTTTTTTAAAAAAAATTATTTCTTTTCATTTGTTATCATTATTTTTTAATTGAACGAGAGTAGGAGAGAGAGAAAGTGAGAGAGAAGGTAAGCCACCGGGTCTGAGACTTGAACCGTAGTTGGCCATTTGGGAGTGCAGCACCTTAATCACTGTGCCACTTGCCAGCCCTGTTGTCTTTCTTTTTTTTTTTTTTAAGAGTTTTTTAAATTTAACTTTATTTATTTATTTATTTTTATTTGATCAGAGAGGGACAGAGAGTGAGAAAGAGAAAGGGAAAGTTAGAAAGCAAGCTGCCAGGTCCAAGACTCAAACTGCAGTTGGCCACTTGGGAGGCTAGCACCCTTAATCACCATACCACCTGCTGACCCCTCTTTCATCCTTTATTATTTATATAGTTTTTTTTGAGAGAGAGGGAGAGAAGAGAGTCTTTATTATATACAGTTTTTTTTGAGAGAGAGGGAGAGAAGAGAGAATTTTGTTGTCGGGCACATATGCTCACTGGAGACACAAACAGAAAGCAAGAAATCACTCTCCAGGGGAGACGGCCACATCACAATCCCTTCTTCATTCTCCTCTCAGGTCTTTGGGCATGCATGCATACACACCTGCATGAGTTTTGATTCACCACATCAAAGACTCAAACCTCATTCAGCCACATGGGAGTCCATGCCTTAACTACTACGTCACCTGCTGGCCCCTATAAAATAAGGTTAATAAGCCCTTTAATTTCTGTTCAAAAGTAAGACTTTTCCGGTTATTTAATTGGGTTCTTTTTTATTTTATTTTTTATTTATTCATTCATTTGTTTTAGTTTGATCAGAGAGAGAGAGAGACACAGAGACAGAGAGAGAGGGAAAGTGAGAAAACAAGCTACCAGATTCAGGACTTGATCCATGGTCAGCCATGTGGGAATGTCCAGCACCTTAAACACCATGCCACCTGCTGGTCCCCTTAATTGGATTCTTTATGTACGTTAATTTTTTGGTAGTTTGATGTTTTATGTAGTTATTGGAGGTTTTTTTTGTTTTGTTTTGTTTTGTTTTTTTGCTATAGGGCGCGTGCGCTCACCAGATAGACAGAGAGACAGAGAGATAGAAAGCGAGAAATCATCCCCACAATGGGGATGGCCAAACCGCAATCCCTTCTCCCCCATTCTCCTCTTGGGATCTTGGGCACGCATGGACACGCGCCCAGCGTGAGTTTAAGCTGCCAGGTCCAGGACGTGAACCACGGTCGACTACATGGGAGTCCAGCTACATAGCCATTATGCTAACTGCTGGTCCAAGTTATTGGCGGTTTTTATACAAAGTTTTACAGGGCCGGCCCCATGGCATAGCCTACTTAGTAGGTAAGGGAGCCAGATTCCACATGATTCTAAGCCCAGCCGCAGCAGGTTGAAGAACACATTGGTTGCATATACATGTGCACCTACAATTCTAAAGGAATACTGAAATAAAGAGACTGTGACATGACCACGCCCTATGGGAGGCTACTTTCTCTCTTCCTCCTCTTCTGCCCCCCCCCCCCCTAGTAAGTTTACTCACTCTCTGGAAACATTTAAAAAATAAAAAGTTAAACAATTAAACTGTACAGAATTCAAGTGTAAAAAGACTTATTGTATCTTTTGTAATATACTCAGATGGTAAATAAACTGTTTATTATGTAGCTTATATCTTTCACCCCCTGCCCTGTATGGTTATTGAGTGACTTCCTTTTTTTCCTTCATTAGTATTTTCTGCTTTGTTTCTTTAAAAGAAAGTAAATAATGAGATAAATTTGTGACTGGAACAATGAGATTCCAATAATGTTTCCTGGTCTCTGGGATAGCTGTCACATCATCTGTATTCACTTTAATTACATGATTATAAGTGATGGCTGTTTCTGGTTATCTAGAAACTGAGTCCTCTAAAACTTCATTAAAAATTAAGATTTCAGCCAGCATTGGTATTGGTCAGTGATGTGTTACAATAGAATTGGCATTTCTATTGTTAAAACAGAAGTGGTAGATTCATAGTTAATGTGCAAGTTTTAAAATATTCCTTAATTACTAATATTTTGGGAATATTGTGTTTCTCACTATTTATGTGCCATGTCTTTCATATAATTCCCATATAGTATTTCTTTTAAGATGATAGTATTTCTTGTTATTAATGATAAGATTTTGAAAACCTCTTTGGTTTCTGGTTTGTTTTTCATTAGGCAAGTACGCAGACAGATACACTGAAACTGCCACCTTCCCAACCTCCAAGGCTTTTGAAGAACAAAGCTTTATTGTGCAAGCCCATCACACAAACTAAAGCCACTTCTTGCAAACCACATACCCAAAACAAAGAATGCCAGACAGGTATGTTCCTTGGTCTCTTTATTTTATGGGTTTGTTTATTTTTCTTTCTCCCTTTTCTTTTTTTTAGGAAAGGACTGAACGATCTTACATTAAGCATTCAGTGTTTCCTAGTGATCTATTAGGTTGTCGGCAAAGTCATGACACATTTTTCTATGCAGAAATGGGTTGAGTTGCTTACACGTGTTTTTCCCTTTTGGGGCTTAAGTTATGTGAAAAAGAAGGAACTAAATTGCTAATACCAAACTATGAATGTTTATTTCATTTAATTATCTTATTAATGACAGCATAGTATTGTGGAATAAGCATAAAGCTTTGGAATTGTGTAGATGCACTCTCAGTTAAGAGGCTTCCTGGTCTTCCAGAGTTCCCCTCGGTTTGAACTACTTCACATTCTCTCAAATCCAGGCAGTACTTTGAGGGGAGCTTCAGAGCTTTCTTTTCTTATGAACTGCCTTTTTCATTGGGCAAAATCTCTGAGTCGTTTTTCCAAAGTCCCGGCAGGGTGGTAGCCTCTGGTCTTTTTGACTTGCTCTTCTTGGCATAGAACTTGCTGAACTTGAACACTACCTGGGTCTTTTTAGCCTATTTTATTGGAGTAAAACCTCCACTTCATGGTGGGAGCTGAGTGAAGGGGAGCTCCTGGTCTCTTGGCTTCACTAACCAGGAATACACCTCTTCAACTTGCATTGGAAGGTATGAGAATTACTGGTGCCGCCTCCTGAAGTATGGCAACCCTTATTTGGGAGCCGAAGAGTTGGAAGCCCATTCTCCTGGCCATGGTCAGCTATGGTGGGGCTTCTGTCAAGTTTACTGAGCTGAAGTTGGGGGGCATGGAGCATGTGGGGTTGAAATGTCATAGACTCACAGTTCTTCACAGATTTTCATAGACTTTCTTGAATCAATAATTCATTTGCTGTATGTGCTTAGAATAATTTTTCAAGAATTTAAAGATTGCTTTTTAATAGTTTTCTTCCATTTTGTTTCCTTTGGGAATAGGTCTGTATAGCTCCTCATGGTGTTACACAAAAGTCTCAGAATTTTTAATTAGAAAAGAATCCTAGATTCATAGATCTGCAAGGTTATCCTATATACCAGTGCTTCTCAGACATTAATATGTTTATGAATTAACTGGGAGTCTTACTAAGCAGATTCTTAATTGGTGGGGGCTGAGATTTTTTTCTTTTTTGTTTTTTGGAGAGGTTTTTGCTATAGGGTGCGTGCGCTCGCCAGACAGACAGAGACAGAGAGATAGAAAGTGAGAAATCACCCCCCAGGGGGGATGGCGATGCCGCAATCCCTTCTCCTCCATTCTCCTCTCGGGATCTTGGGCATGCACGCACACGCGCCCGGCGTGAGTTTAAGCCACCGGGTCCAGGACGCGAACTGCAGTCGACTATATGGGAGTCCAGTGACATAGCCATTACACTAACTACTGGTCCCGATTTTTTCATTTTTTACAAGCTCCCAGGTACATTTAGTGTTGCTGGTCCCTGGACCACACCAAGTAACAGTGTTATAGATTACTTAGGACTTTATTTTTTTAAGAGGTTTTTGCCTTAGGGCACATGTACTTCAGAGAGAGGAAGACAGTGACAGTGAGAGGCAAAATGAGAAACCACCCCCCAGGTGGATGGCCACACTGCAGTCCTTCTCCATTCTCCTCCTGGAATCTTGGGCAAGCACGCACATGTGCCTGATGTGAGTTTCAAGCCACCAGGCCCAGGATTTGAATTGCAGTCAGCCTTGTGACAGTCCAGCGACATAACCACTGAGCCATCAGCTAGCCTCATAGGCCTTTCTTTTTTTTTTTTTTTTTGGAGAGATTTTCACTGTAGGGCGCGTGCGCTCGCCAGACAGACAGAGAGAGACATAGAGACAGAAAGCGAGAAATCACCCCCCAGGGGGGATGGTCACGCCGCAATCCCTTCTCCTCCATTCTCCTCTCGGGATCTTGGGCACGCACGCACACGCGCCCGGCGTGAGATTTAAGCCACCGGGTCCAAGACGCGAACCGCGGTCGACTACGTGGGAGTCCAGCGACATAGCCATTACGCTAACTGCTGGTTCCCAATAGGCCTTTCTTTTTGATATAGTAATGGTGATTTATTTAGTGTAATATAACTTGGTTATCAGATCTCTTTAATCTAGTAACACTTTTTTTCTATTTTTTTCTTTTTTCTGTGGTGTGAGAAAAGGATTTGTGCGTTCAGCAGAGAAAGAACACCCCCGGTGGGGCATGGTCACTCCACAATCCTTTTTCCTCCATTTCTCCATCCCATCAGGATTTTGGACACGTGTATGTGCCCATCATATTTTTCAAACTGTTGGTGTTAGAATTTGAACCATGAGGGGCTGGCAAAGTGGTATGGTGTTTAAGGGCACTGAACTACCAGATGGCCAGCTGCAGTTTGAGTCCCAGACCTGGTGACTTACTTTCTCACTCCTCCCCATCCCCCTTCATTCTGTCCCTCTCTGGTCAAATTAAAATAAATAAGAAAGATAAGTAAAATAGTTCTTCAAAAAAAAACACAAAGAATTGTGCATGCGGGATTGGGCATGCGGGATCTAGTTCCTCACGCACAGGGCTTAACCATTATTCTGTGGGGCCAGCCCTCAAGTAATTGTTTTTATGTCCACTGTACTAGAGTTTTTAAAATAATAATAATAACAGTCCCATATTATTTTTCCATCTCTAATCCTAGTTAAATAGCTTTTCTTTTCACTAGTGTTACCTTTCTCCTCTGTCATTGCTTTTATAATTACCTAGCGTATTTTTGGCACATAGGCATGACTGTATAGATACTTGTCAGACAAGAGAGTGAGTCCTCATCTTTCTCCCTTTTTTACAAATTCTCTTCGTCCTTTTAATATGTAGGGCATCTACTGTTTATTGTTTTCTTTGTTTCGTAGGTATCATAACCAAGTCAGAACAGACCCATATCATCTTAGCTCTACATATTTTAATTATCCTCTACTTTAGCAGTTTATGTATTTTTTATTCTATGGTAAAATAGTTGTCAAATTCATCTTTCTTAATGTCCCTTTTATCATTTTACTCTGTGCTAGTAAACCTTCAGTAGCCTCCTTTCTATCTACTACAAATGCTTTTAAAATGTCTGTTACGTGTAGGTTCACTAAAATAGCCCTCTGCCTATTCAGTCTCCTCTGTAGCATATCCTAATCATTCCTATTAGCAGGTTTCCATAAACAACTTCTTTTCATTTCTTTAGAGAGATTTTTGCTATAGGGTGCTTGCATTTCCTGGAGAGACAGAACTCAAGAAATCACCCCCTAGGGTATATGGCCATACCACAGTCCCTTCTCCTCATTCTCCTCTTGGGATCTTGGGCATACATGCATACATTCCCAGTGTGAGTTTTAAACTGCCAGATCCAAGACTCAAATCACAGTTGACTATATGGGAGTCCAGCAACATAACCATTACACCATCTGCTGGTCCCCCATAACCTTCTTCTGAGGTTACTGTTCTAATCTCTTCTGTTTATTGGTATTCATTTTATCCTTACGTCATTGATATTTATGTTGCCTACTTTTTATCAGTGCTATACTGAAGGCTTTTTTCCCTCCTACCTAAGTTATTTCTCCTTTATAAGAACTCTTAGCATCATTGATGATATTTATTTTAAACGATATATGAAATCTACATAGACTTTTTCGAAATTTTATTAAAATGTTTTTAACCTTCTTTGTTAATTGTGATTTTTTTTTTTTTGTAGAAGACACTCCAAGTCAGCCCCAAATCATTGTGGTGCCAGTCCCCGTGCCAGTGTTTGTGCCCATACCCCTTCATCTTTACACTCAGTACGCTCCAGTCCCATTCGGAATTCCAGTTCCAGTGAGTAATTGTTCAGTGATTAAGGCTCAGACTCTGGACTATGCTAAGAACTGCTTTTGTTTGTACTCTGTCTTTTCAGAAAAGTTTATGATATAACTTTTTTTTTTTTTTTAAGAATTTTTTTTGCTATAGGCATGTGTGCTCGCCAGAGAAACAGAGAGACAGAAGTGAGAAATTACCTCCTGGGGGATGGCCATGCTACAATTCCTTCTCCATTCTTCTCTCAGGATCTTAGGCGTGCACGCATGCACACATGCCCAGCATGAGTTTTAAGACATCAGATGTGGGACTCGAAGTGCTGTTGACTATGTAGGAGTCCAGCGACATAACCATTAGGCCATCTGGTATTCCCATTATGTACCTTTCATAAAAAGTTAGGAACACTAAGACCACTTAGAATCTTGGATTCTAGCAAAGGTGAAAAGAACACTGTGATTTACATGATTTTTCACTTCTTTTTTGAAGTTTGGCTGTAGGGAGCATGTGCTCTCCAGAGTGAAACAGAGAGAGGGAAAGTGAGAAGTCCACCTTAGGAGTGATGGCCGTCCCATAGTCTCTTCTCCTCCAGTCTCATCCTGCAACTTTGGGCATCCATGTACACACGCCCAGTGTTATTTTCAAGCCTTCTGCTCTGGGACTCAAACCATGTTTAGCCATGCGGGGTTTCCAGTGCCTAAACCACCACACCATTTGTTGGCCCCCAGGACTTTACTTTTTATTAAAGAAAAATGTATTTTGTTGTTATTGTTATAAACACACATTTTTTCCCTGGTACTAAGTTCTTTTTTGTTTTTGGGTTTTTAAAGAATGAATGAATGAATGAATTATTTTTAATTTGACCAGAGTGAGTGGGGAAGTAAGAAAGCAAGCCACCAGGTTCACCACTTGAACCTACAGTCAGCCATGTGGGTGTCCAGTGCCTCCTGCCACCTGCCAACCCTGGTACTGAATTACCTTTTTAACTTTTTAAGAGAGATTTTTTTTTTTTAACTATAGGTCACGTGTGCTTGCCAGAGACACAGAGAGATACAGAAACAGAAAGTGGAAAATCACCACCCCAGAGGTGATGGGCCATGCCATAATCTCTTCCCTTCTCCTCTTGGGATCCTTGGTATGCATGCACACATGTCCGGCATGAGTTTCAAGTCACTGGGTCCAGGATTCAAACCACAGTCTACTACATGGGACTTCAGCCATGTAAGCCATATGCCATCTGCCCGTCCCACCCCAGGGGTGATGGGCCATGCCATAATCCCCTCTCTTCCCTTCTCCTCTTGGGATCCTTGGTATGCATGCACACATGTCCGGCATGAGTTTCAAGTCACTGGGTCCAGGATTCAAACCACAGTCTACTACATGGGACTTCAGCCATGTAAGCCATATGCCATCTGCCCGTCCCCTAGTACTGAATTCTTAAAGGAAATAGTTGTGTGGAAATGTCTAGCAAGAAATAGAAGCAAAAACAGAACAACAGTATGTTGCAGAATTACTCTTTTAGTGAATTCAGATGGACTTATTGAATATTCGAATGTCTCTAGTGTTATAAAACAAACTAACAAGTCTGTTTTAATCACCAACAATGAAAATATCTTGAATTTGTTTATTATTTCAATAATACTTACATCATCTCAGAAATAATAATTTTGATGACAAACCTATTTCCCAAGAAACTCTTAAGTCTGTTCTTGGTCTTTCAGATGCCTGTCCCCATGCTTATTCCATCCTCAGTGGATAATGAAGATAAAGTCACAGAGGGTATTGACGACATTAAGGAAAAGCTTCCCACACATCCATTTGAAGCTGATCTCCTTGAGATGGCAGAAATGATTGCAGAAGATGAAGAGAAGGAGAAGACTCTGTCCCAGGGAGGTTGGTATAATCTTTGTAATTATTTTTTAAGAGAGTATTTTGCTATAGGGAGTGTGTGCTCACTGGAGAGACGGAGAAACAGAAAGCAAGAAATCACCCTCCAGGGAGGATGGCCACGCCACAATCCCTTCTTCATTCTCCTCTCAGGATTTTGGGCACATATGCACATGCACCCGGTATGAGTTTTAAGCCACTGGGATCAGGCCTTGAACCATGGTCGACTACATGGGAGTCCAGCGATGTAACCATTGTGCCATCTGCTGGTCCCAAGATTGGTATAATCTTTAAAAGAAAAATGCCAGCCCTTTTCTATAGCCCTGTAGCCTAGTGGTTAACTTAGTCGGATCCTGGGGCTGGTAGGTGGCATGGTGGTTAAGGGCGCTGGACTACCACATAGCTGTGGTTTGAGTCCTGGACGTGTCAGCTTGTTTCTCACTCTCTCTGTTGCTGTCCCTCTCTGGTCAAATTAAAATGAATGAATGAATGAATAAATGAATATAAATTTGAAAAGAATAAATAAAGTTTAAAAGACTGGGATCTCACGTTGCCTACCATGGTCCAGTCCTGGCCCCAGTAGCTTGAAAAACATGCTGGCCACGTGCGCACATGTAAATACTCCAAATCCCAAGAGGATGGAGAAGTGAAGAGAAAAGTTTGTGGCATCACCATGCCCTATTAGGTGGTACTTTCTCTCTTTCTCTCTTTGGTGAGTGCCCATGCCCTCTGACAGTATAAATGAATGGATGAATGAGTGAATGAAAAGAAAGAAATAGCACTTCTCCAAATTTTCATGTACCTCAAGTTATCCTAAGTATCAGTTAAAGAAATCTTGCTGTGTTTAAATACCTAGAAATATAGCCATGCATAAAAAATGTTAGATGATTTTTTTTGGGGGGGGGAGGTTTTTCGCTATAAGGTGCGAGCGCTCGCCAGACAGACAGAGAGAGACATAGAGACAGAAAGCGAGAAATCACCCCCCAGGGGGGATGGTCATGCGGCAATCCCTTCTCCTCCATTCTCCTCTCAGGAGCTTGGGCGCACACGCACCTGGCGTGAATTTTAAGCCACCAGATCCGGGACGCGAACCACAGTCGACTACGTGGGAGTCCAGCGACATAGCCATTACGCTAACTGCTGGTTCCCAGATGATTTTCTTGATTCTGTAGTATTTGGGGGGAAATATCAAACTACTCTCAACTTTTCTATTGTAAAGCTAGTAAGTTTTGAAATTATGTGTATGCATGTATGTATATATGTATGTGTGTGTGTATGAGTGTGTATATTCTGGCCATCTCAGTGCCACAACCATACCATGTTGCTCAAATGATGCTAGATCCCTGTGGAAGATCACAGGTTAGGCAGGTTCCCAGGCAGCCTGCACATATTAGGTGCATATCATGATCCTGGCTGGCTGGATAGGCCAGGTGGGGGATAGTTTTCATCATGTGAGACTATTGAGGGTACTTTCTCTCTTAGAAAGTAAGTTTTTTTTTTTTTTTAAGAGTTATTTAATTTTCTTTATTTATGTTAAATGACCAGAGAGGGACAGCAAGAGAGAGAGGGACGGGGAAGTGAGAAAGTAAGCTGCCAGGTTCAGGACTCGAACCACGATCGGCCAACTGGGAGTCCAGCTCCCTTAACTCCATGCCACCTGCCAACCCCAAGAAAATAAGTTATTGGGCCAGCAGGTAGTGGAGTGTTTAAAGTGCTACACTCTCATATGGGCAACCACACTTCTAGTCCTGGACCTGGAGGCTTGAAAGTCACACTGGGATCGTGTACTCGTGTATCCAAAATCTCAGGACCAAAAGAGAAGAGAAAGGATTGTGGCGTGACCATTTTCTCTGGGGAGTGATTTCTCACTTTCCCTCTCACTGTCTGTCTCTCCAGTGATCACACACGCCCTATGGCAGAACCCTTTAAACACAGACACACACACACACACACACACACACACAGATCAGTGAAAGCTTATTTGTTTATTATACCAGTGTTTCTAGCTTTTGTCATTTTTATTTTTATTTATTCTTTATTATTTTGCTCTTCGATACACAACCATCTCATTCTGACTCATTATATATGGAGTTTAATGTCTTAGAGTATTGCCCATATGTTTGATCTTTAAACTTTTAACACTATTTAGTGTAGACGCTTAAACATTCCTGATGATAAGTCTTAATGTAAGTTTCTTCTCCATTAACATCAATATTTAATATTTATCAAATACTTTGTCTGTAAAAGTATTGTGACTTTGCTCTTACGTACAATTAAATTAGACATAAACTTTCAAAACTAAGCTTAAAGACACTTGTAATCATTGTAGTATAGATAAAATGGAATGGTTTTGGGGACCAGCAGGTGACGTGGTGGTTGAGGAGCTAGACTCCCACATGGCCGATTGTGGTTTAAGTCCTAGATCTGGTGGCGCTCTCTCTCTCTTTCTCTCTCTCTCTCTCTCTTTCGCATGTGTGTGCGTAGGAATATGCCCCATAACATGTTAAAATAATAATAATAAACAAAAATAATTCTTTAAAAAAGCAAATGACTTAGAATCCAAGAGGAGGTAGAAATTGCAGCTTGGGGGACATGATTAATTTTTATTTTAAGGTAAAGAAACCATTTTCTTGGGTAAATTTAAAAAAAATTTTTAATGGGACCAGCAGTTGGCATAATGGCTGTCACTGGACTCCCATGTAGTCCACTGCAATTTAGGTCCCGGACCTGGTGGCTTAAACTCACACCAGGCATGTGTGCGTGCGTGCCCAAAATCCCAAGAGGAAAATGGAGGAGAGGGGATTGTGGCGTGGCCATCCCCCCTGGGGGTGACTTCTCGCTTTCTATCTCTCTGTCTTTCTGGCCAGCACACACGCCCTATAGCAAAAAACTTATTAAAAAAAATTTTTTTTTTAAATTACTTTGAACTTTTAAGCTTCTTATTTTTGAAGTATTTTATAATCAATAGAACTCTGTTCTGTTTAGTTCCATATGTTGATTGCTTATGTAACTTATTTTTGTATATTCCAAGTCTACTGCCCTCTCAATGCAGTGTTTAAAAATCATTATATTTATTATGTTTTGGGAGGAAAAGCAGCTTAAAACAGATTTGTTAGTCTTTAAATAGTAAGTGCATGGAGTGGGGCTAGCAGGTGATGTGGTGGCTAAGGCACTGGACTCCATATGGCAGAGCATGGTTTGAGTCCTGCACCTGGCACCTCGTTTTCTCACTTCCCTCTCGCACTTGTGCGTATGTGTTGTATAGCAAAATTAAATAATAATAATATTAAAATTTTTTAAAAACTGTATTAAAAAAGTGTGTATGTACATTTTTGTATCATGGTAAAGAAAAGGATCTCAGATAGCAGAAGAGAATAAAATCATAAGTAAAGGTCTCTTGCCATGATTTCTTTTATACTGCTACCTAGAAGCATAACTACTATTAACCGTAGTAATTTGTTTAACTCCAGTTACCACTAATGCTTCATTTTATTAATTTGTCATTCTTTATGTGATACCTATTTACTTAGAACTCTATAATATTATTCATGATATAATACTGTCATTTCATCTAAGATGCAATTTGTTTTGTGTATATATAAATTGTTGTGTTCTTTTCTTTTTCTTTAGGATCTCAAACTTCTGAACAGGAACTGTTTCTAGACACCAAGATATTTGAAAAAGGTTTGTAGTTGTACATACTTAGATTCTTCGAAATACTGCCCTCTCTTAGTAATAGAAATCCAAAAAGTATTTGTACCCTTTGATTTGTTAATATTTGCAGCTTTAGCTTTTGTCAGGGGCATCAAATGTCAGTGGTGTGTGGTAATTTATAATGAGACTAATAAAAGCTACCTCAACTATTTAAGGATTGAGATAATGCTTTAAAGTGCCTACCAAGAATACCTGCTAGCCCCACTCCACACACGCCTGTTCTGTGAGGCTGATGAACAAGTTACTCTATTCTTGAGCGTATTTAGGTGATTGTCCATCAACATGTCTTAGTTTTTAGTATTTAGGGGTTAGGGAAGGTTTCTGAGCATGTCAAGAGACCGTCTTGTTCTGAGAGCTTATATGCTTTCTGTTTATTTCAGATCAAGGAAGTACATACAGTGGTGATCTTGAATCAGAGGCAGTATCTACTCCACATAGCTGGGAGGAGGAGCTGAATCATTACGCCTTAAAGTCGAATGCTGTGCAAGAAACAGATTCAGAATTGAAGCAGTTCTCAAAAGGGGAAACTGAGCAGGATCTGGAAGCAGATTTTCCATCAGGTTTGTTTACCAAAATTCTTTTATTTTAGGAGATTGATGTAATTCTGAACTGACATTATTAAGCAGTTAGAATGTGTTAGAATAATCTTGGGCATAAATGGCCTTGCCTTTGTAATGGCTAACTTATGCCATATTGTTCTTAACGACAGTTCATGTTTGGTTTAGCCTTTCCCACCATGACCATCTGAGAAGTTTTCTTGATTACTAATAGAGTGTTCATTTTAGTGCATATCCCTTGTTCCCTTAAGTATACAGTCCTCCCTTGGTTTCCGAGGAGGGTTGATCCTAAGACTTCTGAAATAACAAAGGCCACAGGTGCTTCTGCTCAGTGTAGGAGTGCTATTTGTGTCTAACCTGTGCACATCCTCCTGGTGTCTTAATCACCTCTAGATCACTTAGAATACCTGATGCCATGTAAAGGCTATGGAAATTGTTGTGCTGTGTTTTTCATTTGTGTTATTTACTATTGTTGTATTGTTATTTTTTATCGCATGTGTGTTTTTTCCTCAAATAATTTTTCAAAATGGTGTTGACCAGGTATGTGCACGTGGAACATCCGGATATGTGGCCAGCCATATAAGTGAAGTTCTTCTTCTATCACAAAACAAAATAATAACTGTACTGATGGTTACCTGATACTTCTTTCCCCATTCTAAGTTTTATTTAAATCATTGAGTTATTTACCTCACAATATGCTCTCTGCTGATTATTATAGAATCCTTTGACCCACTTAATAAAGGACAGGGAATCCAAGCACGTTCCCGAACAAGACGACGACACAGAGATGGCTTCCCTCAGCCAAGACGAAGAGTAAGCAGCAGCTTAATTTTCTAGAGTTTACTCTCCTTCCTTCTACCCGTGTTTATTAGTTCCTGAAATTTACAAAATTCTGTAACAGCCAGAATCAGGTAGTTCTATACATTATTTTGCAGCCTTGTATTTTCATGCTTTTGCTTATTTTCTCTTATTTTAGAACTATTTTATTTAACTTTATTCATCGTTTTTTTTTTTTTTTAATTTGACCAGAAAGAGAGAGAGAGAAAGTAAGAAAGCAAGCTGCCACATCCAGGGCTTAAACTGTGGTCGGCCATGTGAGTCCAGGCCTCTACCAGCTACTGGCCCCTTCTGTTTCTTAACAAAAGGTCATGAGAAAAATTTCTGGCACAATATAACTGTTCCTGGTTGTGGTATTAGTTACATACTACATACATTGATCAAAGTCCATCACATTGCACACTTACAGCTTAGAAATTTTCGCTATAATTATAACTCAATAAAGACGACCTTTTCAGCCTGCCTCATCTCCCCCTGCTAACTACCACAGATCTGCTGTTCAGATCAACACAAAATAGAACTGCTTTGCCCTTTTAAAAATTCAGTATAAATGAAATCACATAATGTGTAGTCTTCTGCTTCTAGGTTCTTTCTCTTAGCATGTTTTTGAGATTTATCCGTTTTATTTCATGTTTCCGTAGTTGATTCCTTTTCATTTCCGAGGAGGATTTCATTGTATGAATAAACCATAACTTGTTCAGGTATTGAACAGATGATGTATATTTGGGTTATTTCTAGTTTGGGACTGTTGGAAAGAACTTAATGAACGTTCTAGTTTAAATCTTCATATAAACATACATTTTCATTTCACTTGACAAATATCTAAGAATGGGATTGCTAAGTTTTTATGGTAGATGAATTTTTAGCTTAATAAGAAACCTGTTAGACTGTTTTTTGTTTTGTTTTATTTTTAAGAGGTTTTTCGCTACAGGGCGTGTGCGCTCGCCAGACAGAGAGACAGAAAGCGAGAAGTCACCCCTCAGGGGGGATGGCCACTCTGCAATCCCTTCTCCATTCTCCTCTCGGGATCTTGAGCACACATGCACACGCGCCTGGCATGAGTTTTAAGCCACCGGGTCCAGGACACAAACCGTGGTCAACGGTCAACTACATGAGAGTCTGACGACATAGCCATTACGCTAACTGCTGGTCCCCCTAGACTGTTTTTTAAAGTGAATGCCACTGTTCATTCCCACCAGTGGTGTATTAAGAGCTTCATCTGCTCCAAGATTTTGCTAACACTTAGTATTGTCAATGTTTAATTTCATTCATCTGGTGAACGTGTAGTGGTATCTCATTGTCGGTTCATATTGCCCTAATGAAATTGCTAATGATGTTGAGCATCTTTTCATATGTATGTTTGCCATCTCTATGCCTTCCTTAGTAAAGTGTCTATTCAAATCTTTTGCACATTTTTCTTTTTTTTAATTGGGTTGTTTGTCATCTGAGTTGTAAGTATTCTTTATTATGGATATAATTTCTTTAATCAAATTAGAGTCTTGCTCCTATCTTGTGGTTTCCTTTTTTTATTTTCTTAATGGTGAATAGGTTTTAATTTTGAGAAAGTCCAGTTTGTCCATTTTTTTTCAACTTTTAATAGATGTTTATTATGCATATTAGAAATGTACAGATATTTTAAGTGTAGAGCTTGACTAGTCTTCATCAGCTGAACAGATCCATGTGTACTTTATCCAGATCAGAAAACAGCATTGCCAGCCTGCCTCTATTGTGTCTATTTCTAGACTCAAAGGGTAGCTGCTTTCTAACTTTGAAAACATTTATTATTATAATTTTACTGTGTGTATGAATTTTTCTTTCAACTTTAATTAGATACGCAAAGCTGTCCCTCTTTTGCCCAGCATCATATTTGTGAAGTGCATATTCTGTTTACAATATTTATTTTTTTATGGATCTTTTTTATTTTAGAATTATTTAACTTCATTTATCATTATTATCATTATTTTTATTTGCTACAGGGCACTTGTGCTCACGAGAAAGAGAGAGAAATCTGGGACTTGAACTGCAGTCAACCATGTGGAAGTCCAGCGCTTTAACTACCACGCCACTTGCTGACCCTAGGTCATCTTTTTAATATCTCATTTTTAAAAATCTATTACCTAACTTATGGTCCCTAAGATATTCTTTTAAACTTTATTTTAGATGTTTTATATTTTTACCTTTTTTGTTTGTGGTCCAATTTGAAGAATTTTTATGTGTGAGTTGAAGTGAGGCTCAGGGTTCATTTTCTGGATATGGACATCTAGTTGTTCCAGTAGCATCACATCCCTCATGGAAAAGACCACCCTTTCTCCATTGAATTAAATTGCCATCTTTGTTAAAAGTCAGTTAACCATATATGAGTGGATCTATTTCTAAAACTCTCCATTGTGTCTCATGTCTTTATGTCTATAGTTTTATACCCCAGAGCCTGCTCTTTAATTTTTATAACTTTACCATGAATTTTTTGTTTGTTTGTTTGTTTGTTTTTTCCATGAGTTTTGAAATTAGTTTAAGTTTTCCAACTTTGTTCTTTTTCTAAATTGTCATTTGTATATGAGCCATATAAATTTTAGAGTCAGCTTGTCAGCTTCTTTTTTAAAGTTTATTATTATTACTGTTATCATTAATTTGTTCTAGAGCACATGTGCTTACTAGAGAGAGAAAGCAAACTGCCAGGTCTGGGACTAAAACTGTGGCCTGAGTCCAGCACCTAACCACTGTGCCACCTGCTGGCTGCAGCCTGTCAGGTTTTGCTTGCTAAAATTTTGATTGGGGCTGTCCTAAATCCCTAGATCACAGAATTGACACCTAACAATATTGAGTTACCTAATTCATGAACATGACAGCTTCCCCCTTTACTTAGGTCATCTTTCATTTTTCTTAACAGTGGTTTATCTGTTTCATTTACGAGTTTCCTTATCTTCTGTTAAACTTGTTTCCTAAGTATTTAAAGTTTTTTTATACTGTTATAAATTGTATCGTTTTTCAGTATTCTTTTTTACTACAAAGAAATACAGATGACATTTGTATATTTACTTCATATCCTTTAACTTTGCTCAACTAAAATCCTCAAGATTTTTGCCTAGATGATCATCTTATCTTGGAATAAAGACAGTTTTACTTTCTAATCTGAATATTTTCTTTCTTTTTCTTGCTTTATTGAACTACCTAAGCTCTTCAGTACAATAGCAGATTATAGTAGGGCGAGTAGACCTTGTTGCCTTATTCCTGATCTTAATGCAAAAGGGGTTAGTTTTAGGGCCAGCAGGTGGCATGGTGGTTGAAGCTCTGGACTCCCTCGAGATCCACAGCACTTTGCATTCCCGCCTTTCTCACTTTCTTTCCTTCTCTCTTACTCTCTCCTCCCTCTGTCTCTGTAGTCAGTGCAAGTGCCCTATAGCGAATTTAATAATAATAATAATAATAATTAAATTAAATAAACAGTTCTTTGGGGTCAGCAGGTGGTATGGTGGTTAAGGACACTGGACTCCCACATGACCAGCCATGGTTCGAGTCCCATACCTGGCAGCTTGCTTTCTCACTTTATCTGTCTGTCTCTCTCTCTCTCCCCCTCTCCCCTCCCTCCCTTCCTCCCCTCTGGTCAAATTGAAAGAAAGAAAGAGAGAGAGAGAAAGAAAAAAAGGAAGAAAAATAAAATAATTCTTTAAAAAGAAATAGAGTTCTTTAAAAGGGGAGAGTATTCTTGGAATATTTTGCTTGATGTTACCTGTAGGTTTCTCATAGATGGCCTGTATCAGGTTGAAGAAGTTCCTTTCTAATTTGCTGAAAGGTTTTTGTTACTGTTATTGTTAATGTTATTGATTTTTTTCTTAAATAAGTAAGAGAGAATGAGAGACAACCCCCTCTTGTCCCCAAAGGGTCCTGATGTCATGATTCATCTCTAGCCTCAGATAATTGACACACATGTGCCTGACGTACTCAAGGAGGTCACTGGACGTAAATGTGGAACCTTCCCATGTCAGTGAACCCCAGAGAGTGCATGTTTTGCCACCACCACCATTTGGTCCTAGTGCTGACAGTTTCAATCACTATTTGGGTATTAAACTTTATCAGGTTGATTTCTTGCATCTATTGATAGGAGTTAGTTTCCCTTCCTTTTCATTTCTCTGAAATACTATTTAAATAATTTCATTGACTATGGTAGAGGTCAAAGGTTTTAAAGCCTTGACACTCATGCCAGGTGTGTGTATATTCCTACCCAAACATCCTGAGGGGAGAATGGAGAAGGGATTCCCCTGGGGTAGGGGGTGGGTTACTTCTTGCTTTCTGTTTCTGTCTCTAGTGACCCTATAGCAAAAATCTCTCCAAAAAGTAATACAGGTTCTATTTCTGTACCTTTTCAGTTTATTTACTTTTTTCTAGAGTAAGCTTTGTTAATTTCATGTCTGTCTGTCTCTTTTTTTTTTTTTTTGGTTCTTGCCATAGGGTGCATGCACAATCCCTTCTCCTACTAGAATTTTTTTTTTTTAAGAAGTTTTTGCCTTTTTTTAAAAATTATGTTATTTAACTTTATTTATTCATTTATTCATTTGTTTATTTCAATTTGACCAGAGAGGGTCAGAGTGAGAGAGAGAGAAAGAGAGAGAGAGAGAGAGAAATTGAGGAAACAAGTCACCAGATCCAGGACTTGAAAACCACAGTTGGCCATGTGGGAATCCAGCACCTTTAACCACCATGCCACTTGCCAGCCCCAAGAAGTTTTTGCTTTAAAAAAGAGAAAACAGACCAGCAGTTGGCATAATGGCTATGTTGCTGGACTCCCATGTAGTCAACCACGGTTTGAGTCCCAGACCCAGTGGCTTAAACTCACGCTGTGCATATATGCCCAAGATCCTTAGAGTAGAATGGAGGAGAAGGGATTGTGGTGTGGCCATCCCCCCTGGGGGGTGATTTCTCACTTTCCGTCTGTCTCTGTCTTTCTGGCGAACTCACGCACCCTATAGCAAAAACCTCTCTCTTTCTCCAAAAAAAAAAAAAAAATGTTTTTGCTTTGAAGTTTGTGTTTTTGCTGGAAAGAGATAGAGAGAGGGAGGGAGAAAGTGAGAAATCACCCCTAAGGGGCTTGGCCATGCCACAATTCTTTCTACTCTATTCTCCTCCCAGGATCTTGGGCACACATGCCTGGAATCACTTTCAAGCCACCGGGTCCAGGATGCAAACTACAGTCAGCCATGTGGCAGACCAGCAAACATAACTGCTACACCCATCTACTGGCTCCTCCTCTTCCTGGGATTTTGGAAACACACATGGACCTGGCATGATTTTCAAGCCACTGGGTCCAAAACTCTTAACCTCGATCAACCATGTGAAAGTCCAGCGACTTAACCACTCTGCCACCTGCTGGCTCCTCATTTCTGAAAATTTGTCTATTTCATCTAAATTGTCAAATTTGTTGACATAGTGATATTCACAGCATTCATTTTCTTATTATCCTTTTAATGGCTGCAAGATCAAGTATTTGTAATTTGTGTTTCACTCTTTTTTCCTGGTTCTTCTAGCTAGGGATGATCAGTTTTTTAATCTTTTAAAAGAACCAACCTTTCATTTTATTTACACCTATTTCTCATTGGATTTTGCTTGTGCTTTTATGTTTACTTCTTTTTCCTTAGTTTGAGTTTTAACCTTATAGTTTCTTTTTTTTTTTTTTTTTGGAGAGGTTTTTGCAGGGTGCATGTGCTCGCCAGAGAGATAGAAAGCAAGAAATCACCCCCAGGAGGGGTGGCCACGCCACAGTCCATTCTCCTCTCAGAATCTTGGGCACGCACACACACGCACCTGGTGTGAGTTTAAGCCACCAGGTCCGGGTCTCGAACCGCAGTCAACTACATGGGAGTTCAGCGACATAGCCATTATGCTAACTACTGGTCCTATTAACTTTCTAGTTTCTTAAGACAAAAACTTTTTTTTTTTTTTTTTTTTTTGGAGAGTTTTTTGTTATAGGGTACGTGTGCTCACCAGACAGACAGAGAGAGACATAGAGACAGAGAGCGAGAAATCACCCCCCAGGGGGAATGGTCATGCCACAGTCCCTTCTCCTCCATTCTCCTCTTGGGATCTTGGGCACGTACGCACACACATCCAGCGTGAGTTCTAAGCCACCGGATGTGGGACGTGAACCGCGGTCGACTACGTGGGAGTCCAGCGACATAGCCATTATGCTAACTGCTGGTTCCCACAAAAGCTTATTTTATAGATTTTCGACTTTTTAATTTCTCATGGAAGCATTTTAATACTATAAACATCTAATTAAAAGTATATTATTTTTGTTTGTTTGTTTTTAAGAGGTTTTTGCTATAGGGCGTGTGCGCTCACCAGACAGAGACAAAAAGCGAGAAATCACCCCCCGGGGGGATGGCCACGCTGCAGTCCCTTCTGCTCTATTCTACTCTTGTGATCTTGGGCACGCACGCACACGCGCCTGGCGTGAGTTTTAAGCCACCGGGTCCAGGACACGAACCACGGTCGACTACATGGGAGTCCAGCAACATAGCCATTATGCTAACTGCTGGTCCCAGTATATTATTAATTGTACAGTTTTGGAGGATTTTCTTGACATCTTTTCAGTATTTTTCTAGGTTAGTTCTATTGTAGTTAGAGAATTTATTGAAACTTATTTTATAGCTCTGAATGTCCAAAACTAGGGGCCGGCAGGTGACATGACGGTTAAGGACACTGGACTCCCACATGGCTGACCACAGTTCAAGTCCCAGACCTGGCAACTTGATTTCTCACTCCCTTTCCTTCTCTCTCTGTCCCTCTCTGTTCATATTTTAAAAAATAAAGGTTAAATAATTATATTTTAAAATCCAAAACTAAATGTTATATTTTATAAATCTTTGGAATTTTTTTCAGGGACGGAAGAAGTCAATAGTGGCTGTGGAGCCCAGGAGTCTTATTCAAGGAGCCTTTCAAGGGTGTTCAGTGTCTGGGATGACACTGAAGTACATGTATGGGGTAAATGCCTGGAAGAACTGGGTTCAGTGGAAAAATGCCAAGGAAGAGCAGGGGGACATAAAATTTGGAGGTAAATACACAGCATGAATTTATGTCTTAATTAAGTAGGGGGAAATAAGTTTATGTATCTGCTCAAAAGGAGTAAATCCTGGGTTAAAAGTCCCACAAAATGTTGGGTTTTAACTTTACTTAATTTTTTCCCGTTTTTATTTAGCTTCTCATGTATTTTCCTGTCCTTGTCAGGAGTTGAACATGCCTCATCTAGCCCATATTCTGACCCTTTAGGAAGTGCTCCAGACCACCCACTCTCTCAGGATTCCTCCGAGCCAGGCTGTAGAGGTAAAGCTGTTTCTCTCCATTATGTTTGATGTCGTTATCAATTGAAATTTGTAATTGAATGTTTAAAATGAAAGATTTGGCTAAAGATTAAAAAAAACAAATAATGTCTCAACCCCTCAATGTTTTTCAGCCCCCAATTTTAAAGCATTTCTTACACAGATAGGGTTGAATTTTCTGATGATGAGTTTATTATGCATGTATGAGGAATTTTGTTTCATTTTATAATACTGTGTAAATGGCCCAAAATTGGTCTTCTTAAGCCCCTTCTCTGGACAGTAACCCCATATAGAACTCAGTATGAGG